CTCGCTGGGTTTTAAACACCAGAGGCTCAGCCTCAAAACTCACGTCTACATGTCACCACAGTAGGACAAACCAACAGACAAGTTTGTCCTGCTGTTGGAGACCTCTCATATCCCCCCCACCTGGGTCCCTGTGGCTGACTGTTCCTCTGTCTGGCTTCCTGTCTTTTAATCCCCTTTCTCCTGCTCTTAGATTCTATAGGTAATAATTATCAGTCCCCAAGTATGTAGGGACAGGTGGTGACTGTGCTTATTTATTTAGTTATTCAACCAATATTTATTGACCATAGACCATATATTATTAGGTATTATCCTGTCTATGCCCCAAGAGCTGTGGTGGCACAGTGGTTAATGCATTTGGCTGCTAATGAGGAGTCTGGTGGATGAAGCGATTGACTTCTATAAAGATTTACAGCCTCTGAAACCCTATGGGTTGCTATGAGTCAGAATCAACTCGATGGCAGTGGGGTTTTGTTTTGTTTTTTCATTCTGTAATATGACTACTAGGTTGCCTGAATTGAATGGAACAACCAGTTATTTTGGCATTAAAACATCAGACTGTTGGAAATTAAAGGCTCATTTGAAATATCCAAAGCCTTCACAGTTTTGTTTTGTATTTTTAAAATTTTTGAAATGTGCCCACCTAGATAGCAACAGAGTTCAAACCAAAATCCATAGCTCATGAATTAAACCTCAGTGATCTTTCTTAGTTTCCATGTCTCTTGCATTCAGTATTGCATGTCTCAACCCTGGCTGCACATTAGATAATATGTAGGGTGCTTTAAAAAACGCAGGTGCCTTGGTCCTACCCCTAAAATCAGTGCAAGTGGGACTCAGGGGTCTATATATTATAAATCCCCTCAAGTGATTATAATAAACTGAGTAATCAGGGCAGAGAACCACTGGTCTAACTCATTTGTCAGAGGTTTGGGGAATTGTTCTTCAGTGCAAACTGTCATGAACGTGCTAGACCCAGAAGCCAGTAATGCCTTTCTCCTCAGGGTGTCTCTCTGGACCGCCCTCATTTCAGAAAGCAGGATTATAGACCATGTTACAACTTGTATCATTCTTTTCATTTTGTTTCCACACCAATTATCCCAGTTAAATCTCACAAAAAAATTCCTTGGCTTATTCACTTTATTTTGAAGGAAACCAAGGTTCAAAGAAGGTAAGTGCCTTGCCTGTGTTGTGTTGTTATTGGTCGTTGCCATCAAGTCAGCTCTGACTCATGTGACCCCATGCACAACAGAACAAAACATTGCCTGGCCTTGCGCAATCTTCATGGCTGTTGGTATGCTCAAGTTCATTGTTGCAGCCACGGTGTATTTTGAGTGCCTTCCAACCTAAGGGGATCATCCTCTAATGCCATTTCAGTCAATATTCTGCTGTGACTCATAGAGTTTTCATTGGCTAATTTTGAAAGTAAATTGTCAGGCCTTTCTTCCTAGTCTGTCTTAATCTGGAAGCTCCATTGAAACATGTCCATCACGGATGACCCTGCTTATATTTGAAATACCCGTGGAATAGTATTGTCACCACAGCAACACACAAGCCACTACCGAATGACAAACTGACAGATGAGAGTCTTGCCTGTATTGTCATTGTTGTTAGGTGCTGTCAAGCTGATTCCAACTCAGAGCAACCCAATGTACAGCAGAAAGAAACCCTACCTGGTTCTGTG